AAATAAATTAAGACTTTATGTTAAGTATAAATTCAAGTAACAAAGTAAATTATTATATGATGAAAGGTATAAAATGAATGTATAAGATAACATATTATATAAATGAATTATCATATGATAAAAATAAAATATATAATGATAATAGTGTGTTTATAATATCTTTTATATATATATATATGTGTGTACTTTTTAAAATATTAAGATCATAATTTTAATATTTTTTTATCCCTCTCTACGGATGTTGGTATTTTGTCGAACTACATAAATTATATTTCATTTTTATTTCATTTATTTTTGTATATTATTTTTAATAATAAATAATTTTTTTAAAATAATTTAAATTTTGAAAAATTAATGGGTTGTGCTTGACCCATTTAAGCACGAAAAATAGTGGTATGCTTGCCCCAACAAAACCCATAAAAATTATGGACTTACAGTTTAAAGGTCGTACTAGCAAAACACATCAAAAATAGTGTTGAACCTACACAATCTGTTAACACATGAATTAATATATTTAAATGGATTGTACTAGCTAAGAGTCATTTGACACCTTTAATTACAATGTCACTCTCATTAATGGAGTAGTGTGCATTCTCAACAGAGAATTGGTTTTTTTTAATAAATACTTTTTTTGTTAAAATAAAATTTTCAACTTAATATATGCACTTTTAAAAAAGGAAATATTAAGGAATGCTATTGACATTTCTTAATTTGATATTTAAAAAATATATAATTAATACATTATTTTTAATTTAGTAACATTAAATGCTTACTTGAAAAAAATATATAATTAATGTATAATTGCTTAATTGAAAATTCCCTTTTTTTTTTTAATGTGAAGGGTATTTTCAAATTGTGGGATATTAAAAATCATTAGTATATATTTTTATTATAATATTTTTTTAGTAAAATATATCTTTTTAAATAGAAAATGTATTTTTTAAAATGAAGATTAAATTAAAATTCCAACAAAGTTATCAATTTAATTTACAATATTAAAATCATTAGTATTTATTTTTATTATAATATGATTTATTAGTAAAATTAATTTTTTTAAAATACAAAAAGACTTTTAGAAAAATTAAGATTAAATTGAAAAATTCCAACAAAGCCATTAATTTTAATTTATAACATTAAAATCCATTAGTATTTATATTTTATTATACTATGATTTATTAGTAAAATTTTTATATTCTTTTTCAATGTATTAAAATCATCAATTATTTATATTAAGATAAAAAAAATTTTAAGCAAGCTTGTTACTATAACTAAAAGAATAATTCTTTTTTTAGATAAAGAGAATTGTTCATTATGATTTAAAAAATTGGTGAAACTTGTTTGCATGGTGCAATCATGCATACATAACCTAGTTTTAGTCAGTTACTAAAGGGACAGATTTTGTTAAATAATGTGTTTTTTAAATCAAATTACTCCAAGATATATAAAATGGTTGTAAAATGAAAGGTTAGCCAGGGTATTCCACTCAATTTAGTATTTTTCCTTTAAATGAAGAGCATATATATATATATATATATATATACATATATATATGGTGGTTATTAATTTTGACATACGCTGCGAATTAATTATTATTTGAGTATAAATAAATATCAATTATATATAATTATTAATGATAAGATTTAAAGAAAAATTATCAGGATTCTACATAAAAAAGACAAACATATGTAATTATAATGATCTTGTATATATTAAAACTATTTTATATAAAATCAATAAAAAATTCAAACAAATATCTTAAATAAATATAAAAATAAATTAAAGTATAAAAATTTAAATTAACCCATAAAATAAATATATATAACTAATAATTATAAAAAAAAAAGAAAATATAAATGTAACTATAAATCCATAATTTTAAATTACAATAATAAAATACCTCTTTCTCCACAAAGTTTTTCCAAGTGCACATGTCATTACATCAAAGTCAGGTAGAAAACTTTCATTTAATGTTTAGATAAAATGTTCTTTTAATTACAAAAAAAAAGACTATTAAAAGAGAATTAATTTTGTATATAAATAGAATATTTCTTTATACTATTTTTTGAAATAAGTGAATTTGGAATTATATTAATATTATAAAATATTATATTAACATAGGCCATATATTAGTATAGGACAATATCATTCAAATTGATATTTTAACTGCAAATCCAAATTCAAACACAATTTATAGATTCTTAGTTGTAATTTTTTTTTTTTTTTTATAAAGAGGTTATAACTATTATTTTTATTATAAAATTCAATGTTAAAGCAACCCAAAAAAAAAAAAAAAGAAAGTTGTCAATCCACAAAATCAGAATGTGCAAAAGCCCAAAGAAAGTACAAAAGGTAGAATGATGAAAGCCCATGGGGCTATACTTTAAGGCCTCTTTTGCGGGCTGACTTTAGTTGACTTTAATTATAATCATTGTCATTCGTTGAGAAATTTGACAAATTGCCTAAAACAACTTTGCCTTTTTCTCTTTTAATCATTCCCCTCCATGCAATTTCAAGGCAACCTAAATTGCCTGTTCTTACGGCAAAAAAAGTTTTATATGCCTCCTAATATTTATGAATTACAGTTTTCTATCACATTTTAAATGTTTTAAATGTTTAACCCTCATGTTTTTATATATAAAAAAAATTAGTAATTTGCTCTATATATTGATTAATTTCGCGAAACTAATGCTTCAGGATGCAAATTTTGCCTTTTTTTTTTTATATTTTTTGTAATAAAATGAACTCGCCAAAATTTTCAATGTGTATTAGCTTCTTTGAGATAATTACTTATTTGGATAAAATATCCATGCCTAATTATTTATATATATATATATATATATATATATAAATTGCCTTGAACTCAAATATAAGATACTATATATAGCTATGAAGATTGAAAATTATGCCAACAAAATAAAAAAAAAATTCACTTGCCATTTTAAGAATAATATTGCCTTACATATGTATGTACGTATATACATATATATATATATATATAGAGAGAGAGAGAGAGAAAGAGTTTTTCAAATGTTCGAAGTTAAATATTTCTTTGCTAGAATTAATGATCTAATCCTTAGTAATGGAAAATTTTAATTGATTTGCATTAATAAAAATTATATTTTGGAATAGTGATCATATATATAGTTACTGCATATATACTACAATTTTTTTCAATAATAAAAGCTAAAAGAGAAAACTCTCATATCCAAAATAAAGGATTTCATTGAAAAAATTGCATGAGTTTCTTCATGCTAAGGTAAGCATATGATTCACCAAGTAATTATTCATAGATATTGAACTTGATTAACACAGGAATCCATTATAGCTATGAAATAAGTTCAGATTAATTTGTTGTTGTTGGACTTAAATTTCATACAAGAGTTCCCATTTTGTGTATGTTTGTATATAGTTAAACTACTTATAATATCAATGATGGATGTAAAGCTTAACTTATAGTGGGTATCTCAAAAATGGAAAATAATTAAAAAAGTAGAAAATAATAAAATTTGAAGAAAATTTTTTTCTTAAACATTAAAAATTTTTCTGGACACTTATAAATAGCTAAAAACAAAAAATTTAAGTAAAAATTTACTTAGACACATCAAAATTTTTTCTAAACGTATTTTCTGTGGATAGAATTAATAAATTTGTTGACATTTCTTATATATATATATATATATATATATATATATTATAAATAAACACTTAAAAAAATTTTTGAATTCGCCGCTGCTTAATTATAATATATTGGTATTACTGCAAAAAAATGCCTAAGCTTAATTAACAACAAATGATGTTATTATATTTTAGTAAGAATATTATATACATTAAAGTTGATCAGGTAATTTTTGGCAAATTGATTCTAGTCCTATCATTCAAAACATGTTTACTAAAAGATAAACAAGTTTCTGAAACTATAGTACATGATGTTCCTAATGAGTAGACTTTGCATGGGGTATTGGGGGGTCGGATTATGATTCAATATTACCTGTGACACTTATGACAACAAAGAAGAATTCGTTTTCTGATCCATGCTTTGCTCTTCTGTCTTAACCCTTTCTCGCATTTGTTTCTTTGAAAATTAATTATTAGTATAGTTACCATAGTCCCACCATCTAGAGAAATTTGTCACGCAAATGCTACCATATATTGCCTTACCCTCTCATTCATTTTTTGTTACTTTTTAACTTCAATACTAACATGCAATATTGTGAAAATCAGATTTTTGTCAACAATCATATAATTTGTTGATTAATTATGATTCAATTCATGATAAATTCAAATATATAAAAAAATAAATCGTTGGTATCTTTCGAGGGGTCGAGTGTATTATATTATATATAAACAAATATTATTAATAAGTTAGTGATCAATAATATTATAGTTATATCTGATTGAAACAAACAAGATATGGAAAAATCTCCTAACACATGTAGGTCATACTTAGCAAAACTTAATTTGTTTTCCATCAAATCACTCTCTAACGATGATTTTGGAGCTTCCGTATTGCATTATAACACTAGAGCCCAACTTACCGACAAGAAGCTTAGCATCAACACATTCTTCTTCTTTGTTTCTCTTGTTTCAAAATAGAAACCTCCTTAAATCATATTAATTTCATGTAAATTAATATATTAATTAAACGTTGATTCGAAAAAGGAAATTCAAACGATCATATTCTTTAAGAAAAAGATCATTCATACATTTATTATTGAACTAAATGCTCTAATCATATATATATATATACACGACTTCCAATAAAAGAAAGATATAAATTAATTAATTAAGCTTGTCTAATGCCAACAAAAGTAATAGTATTGCCATTAAAATTAAAGGGTTTGCTAGTGCAAGTCCTTTTATAGTACAAAGTAATTACAGTGCACACCCTTCCACATCGGGAAGCATCGTAAAATATATTCTATTTTTTTTTTGATCTAGTGACCAAAACCTAGTAAGAAAGTGCAAAAGAGCCATAAATTTTGATAAAAGTTGGTTTATTATTACATAATTAAACTCCTTATTATTGCAGCTTCTGCACTATCAGCATCAATAGTGGCCAAGAGCTGGGATAGTCGCTCACTTAGATCATCCACTTCCCTATGCAAGCTTCTAATGTAATTGCAAGTCTCTTGCAAAACCTTGGATGCAGATACCTGCAATAGGAGTTCAGTCAAATCCAAATGCCATTGTAAACAATAAGTCACTTTCTTCTGACAAAGCTGATCGACATTATTATTTTATATAATGCTATATTTATATATAAAATAATATAATCCAATTGAGTCAAATTGATTCAAGAAATCATTTGTAATCATGTCGAGCCAAAATCGGCAAATTAAGTAAACTATTCAGGGCATGTGCATTACAGTGTATATCCCCACACAATGAAGCTAACACCATGCTTTAATTAAGAGATAATGTCACAAAGTATTTGAATTATAATAAAATATTAAATTTAATATTTATTTTTAAAAAATTTATATAATACTTGAATTATAAATTTATTAATTAATTTAATATTTTAAAAATTATTTATCAATTATGTATCATTTTTTAAAATTAAGCTATTAAAAATAAATATTATATTAATTATCGAATCAAACATCATGTTAAAATATTTACCATAATTAAATAAATCAGATGATTTTGGATTAGTCAAAGTGAGGCACTGTTTTAAGTCAATGAGAAGCTGAAACCTATGAAAAATATGTTTCCTTGACACCCGGGTCAAGTTTTCGAACTGTTTTTCGAAGACCACTACTATTATTATAACTGAAATATACTATTCTCATGTGGCACATCTGAACAAGGTGAATTAGCTTACTTTACAGTTTCCACACCTTTCCTGCAGCTTTGCATTTAGGGAAAAATAAATTTCTTTTCACTTGTTGATTTTCTTGAAACAGAGATGGAAGAAAGATCAGAGACATGCATGTTCTTATAGTACCTTGTCAGATCGCCTATCGCGAATCTCAGGAAGAAGTTGGCGTAACTTGGAGACAAGTTCAATGATCTGTTCATCTGAAATCCTGGAAACACCTGCTGTCGACTGCCCCGACGACCTTCTGCTAGACATCTTGGAAATGAGCAAAAACCAAGAAATGCTCTTGCCCTTGGTATAACCCTATGGGTTTAAAATATTCAACAACTACCAAAACCAAGCTATAGCTATAGAAAATGTTTTATGTTGGCAAGAAATTAAGGAATAGAGGAGTAGTAGGAGTAGTGATAGACATAAGATATGAAGAGTTTGAGAAAGCGATCAGAGAAATATAAAGAGGAAGGAAAGGACCATCCAAGAGGTGAGAAGGAGGCAGAGAAAGAAAATACAATAACAAAGAAAGCGATGTTGGATGTGAAGAAAACAAGAGCATCGGAGAACGCAAGAGTTGGACGCGAGGACTTTAGTTTTTGTTGGGATTTGTCTTGAATCTCATAATTTCACATCGAAAGTTAATGAGTTTTGAATTTGTCCAGTATCTCACATCGAAAGTTTAGTAAAAGTATAAAGGGTTTCACCCTTATAAATAAAGTATTTTATTTTTAGTTTGGTAATCCCAGAGAGTTAGACACCAAAAGAATAGCTAAGTGAGTAGGCTATTAAAAGGGTGTAATTGGGTTTTGGGTTAAGTTTTTGAGTAAGGAGTTTTATGAGACTTTTCTCATTCTAAAAGTCTCACAGTTGTAAAGATTTATTTGTTAGTGGATTGAGTTTGGAGTATGCCATTTTGAGTTGGGCCGAACCAAATATATTTGTGTTTTTATTCTTAATTTGAGCTTGCTATTTTGTGTGTGGGTGTTATTTTTTTCAACAAGTGGTATCAGAGCGAGGTTCGAGATTTAAGGATTATGGGCCCAAGAGATCGTGAAGTAGTGTTTCAAGATGTCTGAAGAAGGTATGTCTGGTATGCCTATGCCTAAGTTTGAGATTTCGTTGTTTGATGGAAAAGAGTAATTTTATGTTATGGCAAAGTATAGTTCAAGATCTGTTAGTACAACAAGGATTGGATCAGGCATTAGAGAATAGTAAGTCCGAGGGAATGTCTGACGCTAATTGGAATAGGATTCAGAAGAAAGTTGTTAGTACTATTAGATTGACGCTAACTCCAGAGGTAAAATACAGTGTGTTGACTGAGAGTACTCCGAAGAGTTTGTGGGATAAGCTTAAAAGTATTTATGCTTCGAAGTCATTGACTAATAGATTATGTTTAAAGATGGATCTGTATTCTTTGAAGATGAAAGAAGGTATGAGTCTTCATAATTACCTGAATGAGTTTAATAGATTGATTTTCTCAATTGCTAGCGATTTCTATTGATGAGTTAAAAGATGAAGAGAATGCTTTAATTTTGCTGCCATCTTTGCCCAAGTCTTATAGGTCTTTAGTTCAGACTGTGTTGGTAGGCATGTCTACTTTGAAGTTGGATGATGTGACTGCCTTGTTGCGTGAGAATGAAAGGTTTATGGGAGCTCAGAACTCATCACTTAGGGGGAGTACACTAGTTGTAGATGGTTTTGATCAAGGAAGACTCAAAAGAGGATTGATGGATTAAGAGGAAGATCCAAGTCAAGAAACAGAAATTACAGTGATATAAAATGTTATTATTGTGGTGAGAAGGGATATATCCAAGTATGCTGCAGGAAGCTGAGAAGGGATATAGCTACTTTTAAAAGGGCGAATGATGAGAAAAAATTAAATAAAAAAAGAGTGATACTGTTATTGTCGTGTCTGGTGATGATGATGTTGTTTTGACAACTTGTGTTGATGAGACTCAGACTTTGAAAAGTGATAAAGGTTGGGTTTTAGATTCAGCTGCTACAATTCATGTTTGCAATGATAAGAGTTACTTTGTCGAGTTGGATGAGAATGAGAAGAATGTGGATATTGTGGTTGCTAACAAAGAAAATGTGCAAATTCAAAGCATTGAGAGTGTTTGCCTTAGATCTCATAATGGTGTTATTATGACAGTACTAAGTTGTCATTATAATTTGATTGTTTTTGGTGAGTTAGCTTCTCGGAAGTACACATATTATGGTAATAATGATTGGTTGAAAGTGTACAAAAATTGTAGTATGATTCTACAAGAAAATAGGATCAAAAATCACTTGTACATGCTTGATGAAAGCTCAATTATTGGGATCCCTATGATGAAAGAAAAGAAGAAAGGTAAACATGTTAGCTTTACAGATACTGTTGAAGTGTTTGGAGATTCAAGTCAATGGAGGATTTGTTAAGATTTGTCTTGAATCTCATAATCTCACATCGAAAGTTAGTAAGTTTTGAATTTATCCAGTATCCCACATCGAGAATTTAGTAAAAGTAAAAGGGGTTTCACCTTTATAAATAAGTTATTTTAATTTTAGTTTGATAATCCCAGAGAGTTAGACACCAAGAGAATAGCTAAGTGAGTAAGCTATTAAAATGGTATAATTGAGTTTTGGGTTAAGTTTTGAGTAAAGAGTAATATAATAGAAAGAAAAGAACTGTCTTTTCTGTATACTTTCCCCGGTTCCGTTGCTACCGCGGGCTTTACGCAATCGATCGGATCATATAGATATCTCTTCAACACAACATAGGTCGTCGAAAGGATCTCGGAGACTCACCAAAGCACGAAAGCCAGGATCTTTCAGACTTTTCTCATTCTAAAAATCTCACAATTGTAAAGATTTATTTGTTAGTAGATTAGGTTTGGAGTAGACCATTTTGAGTGGGGCCGAACCAAATATATTTGTGTTTTTATTTTTCATTTGAGCTTGTTATTTTGTGTGTGGGTTCTGCGTGCGGGTGTTATTTTTTTCAACCTGAAAAATAACACTCACACGCAGCAATCATACACAAAACAGCAAGCTCAAATCAAGAATAAAAACACACAAATATATTTGGTTCGGCTCAACTCAAAATAGTATATTCCAAACCTAATCCACTATCAAATAAATCTTTACAATTGTGATACTTTTAGAATGAGAAAAGTCTCCTAAAACTTCTTACTCAAAACTTAACCCAAAACTCAATTATACCATTTTAATAGCCTACTCACTTAGCTATTCTCTTAGTATCTAACTCTATGGGATTACTAAACTAAAATCAAAATATCTTATTTATAAGGGTGAAACTTCTTATACTTTTACTAAACTCCCGATGTGGGATATTGGACAAATTCAAAACTCACTAACTTTCGATGTGGGATTATGAGATTTAAGATAAATCCCAACAAATAAGTGAAATTATACATGATAAGAGTTTCCGTTTATTTTGCAAAAATTGATTTTTGAAAAATAATTTATATATTTTTAAATGTTTATTTCATAAAAAACTAGGTGGTTAATGAAAAATAATTTATTAATCAATGAAAAATAAAGTTATTTTTTTGAAAATTATCTTATAGATTTGCAAAAAAAAAAAAGATATTTTTTGAAAAAAAAATCGTTTGTAAGTAAAATTATTTATTAATACTTTTGAGTATAATTTTACTTATAAATAATATTATATTAATAAATAAATAATATTATTTTAATAAATAATATATTAATAAATATTATTATAAATTAATGTTATATTAATAAATAATATTATATTAATAAATAAAATTATAATATAAAAATAATAAATAGTTTTATTTTAAGTATTTTTTATATTAACATAATATTTTAATATTAAATATTATTATTAAAATATAATTATTTTTTAATATTAATAATTTTGATAATAAATAATTTCAATATATTTTAATAATAAATCATTTTTAATATTTTAATAGTTACATTAATATTATTTGAAAAAAAATTTAGAAAACAAACAAATAACAAAAATATTTTTTATTAATTCATCCAAACAATAAAAGAAATTTCAATTAAAAAATAAATATTTTTTTTAAAAAAATTTTTTAAGTTATTTTTTTGTTAAATAAACGGAGCCAGAGAGAGAAAGGGGAATGGAATAAGACTTATTGGTTTTTGTTCCCAACTTTTCAAGTGGGCTTAAAGAGATATGTTTCCTTTTCAGGTAACATTGTGGGCCTTCATGCGCATGTCTCAATACACAATACCATGTGATCATCATCCTCCAATTCTCCTCACTCCCTCTTTGAAACACTGAATTCCACAACCCCCAAATCACCTTTTCATAGCTTTGCAATGGTTTTTTTTTTTTTTTTGCCCATTCAAAAAACCGGAACCTGTTTTGTTTTATAACTGCTTTTCCTTCTTCATCTTCTTCTTCTTCATCACAAAACAGCTCCTACGTTTCAGGTTGATCTCTCTAACTTCTCTACTTCAGTCTTTTTACAGGTTTCTGATCCTTTGGTATATATATATTAGAAAACTGTAAATATTGATGATAAGCATGTGCACTCTAAGACCCATGATCACCTAACACTTCGCAACAAACTTTTGATTGATCAAATGAAAAAGGATGGTACAAAACGATTACTTCACAGTAATATATATTTTTTTCATTCAAATTATAATACCTAATTATATTATTAAAAAATAATTATTCATTATATATCACATGCAATAATTAAATAATAAATATCTATTTTAATATACTAATATGATAGGTAATAAATCATTAATTTTTTTAATACTTTAATTATATAATATGATTTAAATAAAAGAGATATATGTTGATGAAAAGTAATAAATTTATACATAGTCAAATAATTATTTGTTGTTTTTGGAATAAAAACTGTTAAAAGTATACATTTCTTTTTTTGTTAGTGAGAAACTTTTATTAATAATTAATTAATAAATGGATTTTAAGAAAACAAGCAAGGATCTAGGTCTATCTGATCTCTCTCAAATAATTGTCTTTTCTTCTTTGTTTGGGACATAACTGCGTGAGTGTTGGGACCTTTTGATTTTCAAACCCTCGAAATCACATGAATTTCTCTGGCACACACGACATGACACGTGGCATGTCTTAGCTTATTACATTATAATATAAGGGTTAAAATTTTCTAAAACAGGCATGGCAATGAAATTTCCTTGCTTTTGTCTAGCGCAGTCACATGTCACTAGCAAAAAAAATTTTTTTTTTTTTAAAAAAAGGTCATGCCCCTTCTTTTGTTGGTTCCCTGGCCTCCCTAGCTAGTTCTCTCTTGCGCTTACTCTCTCTGGATCTTATTACTGCAATGTCTACAACCAGATTAAGTTTTTGCCAACCACCAACACGTTCTTGAATCAACATTATTATGGGTATCTTTGATCTTTTCAAACCTCTTATTTTATGTTATTTATTAGGTAAAAATATATATATATATTCGTATTTAAAAAGTATTATCTATTTTGATTAAAA